AATTCTAAAAGTTATATTTTTCAAAATTATATTGTTTATATCATCTTTTACACATTTAACTCTGTATTTCATTGTTTTAATATTTTAGTAATAATCTATTTTTCACTCATGTTTCTAAGATATGTAAAAACAGAAAAAAAAGGCTCCACGTATGATTCGAACACTCTCCATAGCGCAGGGTTTGGTCCAAGACAGACCGATTTAACCACTACGCTACGAAGTAAATGCATATTACTTTGATTAAATTTTAAAACTACCTGTATGTTTGTGGAAAACGGCGTCACGGCGTCAGGCTGTATAAGGATTGATATTTGCAAGATCCGAAACTAATAGATCATACCTAGAGAGCTGGATTTTGTGCAAGCTGATTTACATTGGAATTCTTTACCTGCATTTTAAAAGAAACAGTTTTCAAAATAAAAGAATGACATTACTGATGCAAAATACTGTAGTGTTTACTTCCTTTAATCTTTTTGGGTGGCACAATTATTTCATGAGATTCACCGTTTCAACATGTCCGTGTATCCTTTTTTTCTGTATTTCTATACTACTGGATCAGTCCATTTATATTCTACAAAAGGGGTGAATAGCACTTTTCGCGCCAAATGTCACTTTGTAATCTCATGACCTTTCCTTGGATTGTTCTATTGTGTGAATGGGTGTGCTAACTGCTATGGAATTAAATAAAGTTTGTCCCTTTAACCTCCTTCTAATACTTCAGAAATTCTATATATAAATTTTTGTAACACAATGAGCGTAAATTATAGTTTTAATTCATATATAAATTTTGTGCAGTATAATTTTTGTTTTATTAAAATGATTGTGTTAGAAATTATAATTGATACTATCAGTGTATATATAGAACAACGGACATTGATACCCTTAATTATGAACTTGTTTACAAGCTCTACGAGATTGGTTATAATAAGAACGTCTTCATTTAACGGACAATTTGTTTTTATGATGTGTTGTGCACCAACTTTGACACTTTCCAATCAGACTTATGAGGATGATGCACCGATTTAATTTACTAAGGAATGTGCAAGTTCTCCGCTGTCCACATAAATAAAGGACATTGTTGTATCCTATAAGGAGATGGGGAAGTTCAAGAGAACTTTAGTGAGGGGCGGACTATATCAGTGTTAATGAAGTGATTCTTCTATTAACTAATTGTTGTGACCAAATATGTAATTCCCCACTTATAAAAGTTGTGTACACTGAGTATCAGTAGCTTTCACCATCTTGGCTCCGATATCTTTATAATTGAACTTTTTATGTGCCATTGTTTGTTACCTTTGCTGTGACTTTTCAATAAAACTATAAACTTACAAAAGTCTCTTTAATTCAAACACATTAATTGCATTATATTTTATCTTAATAACATATTGTATATATCAGTATAAGTAACACTAAAGAAATGATTTTTTTTTCTAATTTGTTTCCCGGTTCCGCGGTTGTTTATTACATAAATGGACTAGTCTAATAATACACAACACAGTTCAACAAGTTATGGTCTCCGGATGCATGAACATTTGTATCCCCGTTTCAGATGCACACAATATCCTATTCCCACTTTTTAAAAAAAATTCACTTCCACCTAATCCCACTTGCAAATAACAATGGATGTTGAAATAGTGAATTTGTTTTACAGTAATTAGACTTAATACGTTCCCTCTTAGGTTTATCTGTATTTTGTACATTTTAAGAAAATAATAACGAATAAATTTATGAAAGATATGAATTATTTCATTTATTTATAAATTAATGGATTTGAGAAAATAACAAAGGAAAGGGTTTTACAAGAATAAGCCTTTCATATCTTGATTAATTTTCAAAAAGTGGGAATAGATAGTATGAACCACACAATAGATAAGAAACCAGTAAAAAAAATCCTTGATTTTTCTTACCACAAAGGCCTAAATATTGAACTTTCTTATTTCATTCTCAATATATGATAGTGGCACACACACCCCTCTCCTTTTTATAAGTGGAATAAGTTTATTTAGTGGAATAATAAGTTTATTTAGTGGAATAAATACACTCGGTCTCCGACAAAGTGTGTATTTTTAATTATATACCGGCACATCTTTTGAAATGTTCACAATGCATGATTTCATTACAAATATTATATAATAATAGGTGTAATGTTGCTTTTAATTTACATCCAAGGACAGACCCCCACCCCCCACCCCAAATAAAAGAAAGAAAAAAACTCAGAATAAAAACTCCTTAGTATGCAGTGTAGAGATGAGATTCTTCTGTAAGTTAAATAAAATCAAGAATTTCATTCAAACAAGGTTTTCAAAATATAAAGTTTTAATCAAAAGGCTGATCACTCCTCATGCAGATATTGATTGATTTAGTCAGGCAAGCTTTTTAAAAAGCTGTTAATTGTATACATGTACATAAAATAACTCTTTTCCTCTTCACCCCCCCCCCCTTTTGAAAAAATTCTTGATCCGCGCCTGATATGTTATGATATTATACAGAAAATTTAAGATCTGTAGCTCTCTGCTCTCTAACTCTCCGAATTTCTCAAACAGAGGGCTACAGTTTTGTAGCTTTTTCCAACTCAGCATAAATCATCAAATCTACTCTTTCTCGTTTTGCAAGATATCAAGTTCAGCTTTCATTCCTTGAATTAAACACTCGTCTGACAACATTGAGCTTGTTTTTTGTTTTTTTTGGCCAAATTACATAAGAATAAGACATGTTTGTTCCAAAATATGTCATTTATTATAAATGATAGCATACAATATATTTAAAATACATAAAACATAATAAAAAAGACTGGGAGACAATGTAACCTTAAAACCCAATTCCTGAGAAAAATTTTTAAACAATTATGCAATAACAATTGGTCTCCCAGTATGTGACTATTGCATAACATATAATTTGGCAAAATAGGTGGCCTCCAAAATACAGCCTTATAGATATCAATTGGCTCAAAATTCCATTATTTAGCTTGAATAGGATATGACCACACAATATAATATACATATAACAAGAGGCCCATGTGCCACGTCGCTCACCTGAGCACATTGGCTAGGAAATAAAGCAGAAATCACTTCAGTATTGAGTTTACATAGGGGGGGGGGGGTCTGGAATTTTAAACTACCAGCCCTCATTTAAACCAGTATATGACTTTGTACTAACTGAGAAAGCCTCCATATTAATATGATTACACATAAAAAAATTCCTTGATATTTCTAGGCAAAACTTTTCCCCAATTGTGTACCACCGTACCCAACCCCTACTTCCCGTTCATGACTTTACTTAAATCAACACTACGTGAGGATGCTTACATAAAGATGTGACCAATCATGGCTTTGTGGTTCTTAAAAAGAAGAGTTTTTAAAAAATTCCGATGTATTCATTCCTATGTAAAACTTTAATCATCCATTGTGGCCCCACCCTACCCCAGGGATCATGATTTGAACAAAATTGAATCTACACTACCTGAGGATGTTTTCACAAAATTTACCTTTCATGACTGAGTGGTTCTTGAGAAGATTTCCAAAGATTTTTCCTATATATTCCCATGTAAATCTTTGATTGTCAGTTGTGGCCCCACCCTACCCCTGGGGGTCATGATTTGAACAAACTAGAATCTACACTACATGAGGACGTTTTCACAAAAGTTACACCTTTCCTGGCCCAGTGGTTCTTGAGAAGAAGATTTTTAAAGATTTTTCCTTTATATTCCTATGTTAACCTGTGATCGGCCTACCCCCGGGGGTCATGATTTGAACAAACTTGAATCTACACTACCTGAGGATGCTTTCACATGAGTTTTATCTTTCCTGGCCCAATGGTTCTGAAGAAGAAGATTTTTAAAAGATGCCATTAATTTTTCTCTAATTCATTATTATCTCCTCTTGCCCTTCATTTGAACAAACTTTAATCCCCTTTACCCAAGTTACTTTGCAGCAAGTTTGGTTGAAATTGGCCCAGCGGTTCTTGAGAAGAAGATGAAAAGTTACGACGACGCCGACAACAACGACTACAACGACAGACAACAGACAACTTTTGATCAGAAAAGCTCACCTGAGCCTTCGGCCCAGGTGAGCTAAAAAGGAATTAAACAACAATGAAATCATAGACATATGAGTTTAAGTTGGCCTAATGTACAGTTAAAGTCTGTTTGGGGGTGGGTAATCCAAAAAATATTTCGGCAAATCTTTGGCCGTCTTGTCTTTACAATAGCAGTAGATATAATGATGCTAGTTCTCTTATCTCAAAAGGATAAAATTACCGGGGGTCCCCACGGGTTTACAGATAACGAGGCACAAAGTGGGAATTACAATTTAACATATAATACATGAAACTTAAAATAATTTTACTAGCATAAAATATCATTTAAGTTCAGCTTTCATTCCTTGAATTAAACACTCGTCTGACAACATTGAGCTTGTTTTTTGCCAAATAACATAAGACATGTTTTTTCCAAAAATATGTCATTTATTATGAAATGGCAACATATAATATAATACATGTACATAAAACTGAATAAAGAAGACTGGGAGACAACGTAACCTTAAAACACAATTCCTGAGAAAAATTATTAAACAATTATGCAATAACAATTGGTCTCCCAGTATGTGACTATTACATAACATATATAATTTGGCAAAATAGGTAGCCTCCAAAATATGGCCAAAAAGGAAAGGCTTCAAGCTTGCATAAATCATTAAATCTATTCTTTCTCGTTTTGCACGATAATACGTTTCCCTTAAATGAAATAAATACTTTTTGCACATACAAGAATTTTTTTTAATTTCTTGTATTTGGTTGTAATTAAATCCATTAAAATAAGAAAGTTGATATTGTTACATAAGAACTTCCATAAAAACTGAGATATCGCAAGGGCTGAAATATGTCATATTTTCATCATTTTTTTTTAACCTTTTCTGTTGAATAAGGATGTAGAGGGCAATTTTGTCTAGGTATTTTTTTCCATATGAAGTACTCTGCAAAGGAAAACTCATTATTGCTATCTTTCACATAGGATGAATGTTCCAAGGTTTCGGTGTGCAATTTGAACTCGAAGCATGAAAAACGATGTCCAGATAATCAAAAAACAGTTTTAAGCGTTCCTGTGCATCTTCCGATTGAGAAAATTTCTCCTTTTCGAGCTCTCTTAATTTTTTATGCAACGCATCGTCGTACATGCGAGGAATACAAGTTGACGATTTCAATAAGTCAACCGCTCTTTTGGCACATTGTATAGCCTTGTCATATTTCTGCCATTTAAAAAAAAGTCTTCCGAAGAGTTGAAATAACACATGATTACTGAGTTTATTAGCTACCATTTGTAGCAAGTTTTCAGCTTTCCAATAATTATCTTTTGATCCACAGATTATATCCTCAATGAAAGGACTAAATTCTGTCATCTTTTTGTTATTATTTTCATTTCTTTTCCTTTCCACCAAGATGTCAAAGGTAAAATTTTGAAGTGGTTTTCTTCCATTTGAAGTACTTTGAGAAAGAGAAAACTCGATAAATTCTTTTGCAATGTCATACAACAGTGTTTTTTCATGATTCATTATTTCTTGAAGAATTACTTTTCTAAGCTTTGGGTGTGCTATTCGAACCTGTTCACTTGCACCCTCCTTTTCCCCAATTATTAATAAAATAGGTAGAGAACATGATGGATGAAGTCCTCCTAATTTAATTTTGAAGCCGAAACTTTCAAATATCTCATTCCAACATTCTAATGAAACAAATCCTTTTCCTCCATAGTTTGTAAATGGTGCATATGTTGCAAGAAAAGACACGTACTTCATTAACTTGAATTCGTTTGATGTAATGTCAACGGTAGAGATTAAATGCTTGATGGTTGTTCTGATATATTCTAAATTGAATTTTGAACGCATACTCAGGAAAGATATCAAATGTTGTGGATTATACTCTTTTACTAATTCTCTTACAGTTGGCCCTAATTTACAAAACTTGGCTGTGAACCATTCCTTCTCTTGCTTCCCGAGTTTCTGTTCTAAAAAGAAAAAATTCTCATTTCTATATTCATAGTCATTTTTTTCCTTTCTTTGACACCTAATTAATAGACAGTTCATTCTTTTGTTCAAAGATTTTTGGCTAAATTCATTAGAAAGTTGCAATGTGAATTCGGTTAAATATTGTTCCGTTTGTTCAATATCATCCAACAAGAGGATGACAGGTCTTCCATGGGATTCACTTGTGTTCCATTCCTTGTACTGCCATAGTGAAAAAATTTGAGATATTGTGCTACTGATATCTGAAATTTGTGGAATTATGCAACATCTGTATTTCCGTCGAAAATACCATAAAAGTTGGTGTGCAACGGTTGTAGCTCCAGCTCCAGGTTCGTGTGCAATAGTTAGTGTTGCTACCTTTTGTTTATCTCTATTAGCATTATAGAGAAGATTCTGAACTCTCTCTTGTAGAGCATGGAATAGATATCTTTCACAGACATGGTTCTGGGAAAAAAAATTCCACCATCCAACAACATTGCCTTCGTAAAATCGTAATTCTTCATCTTCACCAAATTGTTGCCGGTCTTCACTGTTCTTCAATGTTCTGTTTTTACACTCAGTGGCGCTCAAAATACTTAAGTCGCATAAGTCATTTATAAACTTCTCATCAACTTCAACAAGAGCACCTGATGAAGATGACAAAGAAAAGTTTATTTTTGCATCATAACTCATTATTGATCTGATAGTACAGTTCACATGTTCCCATAGCATCCCTACAACTGACACCTTCTCTAATTGCTCTATAGAGCCTTTACATTCTCGCTGTATAGTTTCAGCAAATTCTTCAAACACTCTTTTGTTTTCTGCAATGATTACAAGTGGCTCCCAACCAAACTTTCTTGTCATTTCGTTAAATGTATCTATTAATCCGTTAAAATCATTTGAAAAAAGAAGAACTAATATAATAGATCCTCCTGTAGGAATTACAAATGGTTGGCTAAGAAATGAGACAGCATTACAAATACCAGCTGAGTGCATGTGCCAATCAGTCCTGTTCAAATGAGGTTTATCTTCATTGCAATCACTTCGTCCATTTGCAAATATCCACATCGCATTTTCACAACAACGCAAGTCTAGATTGATTGCAAGTTCCTGAAAGTTTCCAGCGTAATCATTAAAAGTACATTTCTCTACAAACTCACAGGTCTCTTTATTTTGATACAAAACACACAAACCATTTATATTTGAATAATCGTCAAAATCAAATACACTTGTCACCTGCATAAAATTTATAAAAGACATTGCTTGTTTCCACTCTTCACTCAATTTTTGCTCATCCGTAGGTTTACTAAGCACAAGAATTTGCTTATTTTGCCTGTTAAATCTGAATGTACCTCTCGTGAGAAGTCGTTCCAATTTTGTGGCCAAGAATTCATTTTCCTGTTCACCTTTCTCTTCTTTCTCAAACACACTTCTTTCAATTAAATTTTCCTGCAATTCTTTTAAGATGAATAGTTGTTCATTTTCATTTTTATAGGATTGTGTTGAGGATCCTTTCCGAACATAAATCAAATACTTGTCTTCTACTGATTTAATTGAGCAGTTTTTTATGTTTTTTAAATTCACTTTAAAATAGTGTTTTTCACACAATAATTCTGCTGGTTCAACATCTACCTCGATTACATAGCGGTAATTTTTTTCATCAGGAACAGCCACTCTGACAAATTTTGGATTGGATATACATTTCCCAGCAATGGACACTACTTCACTGGAAACACATCTTGAAATCCCATCACGTAAAGCATCTGTATATTTCGATTTGCTATCAAATTCATGCTCACTTATTTCGAAACCCACGATTTCGCCATGCTTATATGTGCTATTGACAGAATCTGCAACCCCAAAAATGATAGTTCCATTTCTTCGTGCATTGAGACAACCACAAGCAAATTTTAATGCCTCCAACTGGAATTTGATCAGTCTCGATTCCTTTGAGGAATTTTCAAAATTGAAAAAAGACTTGAATTCTAAACACCTTTTTGATAGCGTTCCGTCATTCTCTGGTTGGTTTAATATTTTTCCTTTCTGGTAAACGACAAAATCAGAATTTCCTTTAAATTGTCTTGGAGTCTGGGTCTCCACTTGCTGTATCCCGATTCCCTTTTTTTCTCTTTTAGATGACGCTATATTTTGTTGTGATTTTTGTTTTTTATAGGATGTTGGGTAAGATCTGTTAAGTTTGTTGTCTCCCAGATTTTTGTCTTTTGCATCAGATATATTATTTTCCGGTAATTTTGAACTTTCGGAAGCCCCCTGAACTGGAAATCTTTCTGTCACATTTTTTAACAGATCTATTGAACAAGGTCTATTGCCAGTTTCAAACTCTTGTTTATGATTTGGAATTACTTTTGTTTTTAGATTATTTATTTTTTCTTCTAAGTTGTCTTTCTTCATTGCATTTAAACGAAACAAAATGTTGGGATCCTTATCGTTAATCTCAGTAGGTCTGCCAGAACGATCAAAGTTACTAGACTGGTAAAAAACAGGGTCACTACCATGTTCTTTCTCAATCACTCCTGATGATATTGATGTGGTAGTTGCCGTATTTTCCTCACAAGGTTTTAAGTTGTTAATATTTTTTGAATTACAATATCTTTTGTAAAATTTGTTGCGTTTTAAAATAATTCTTTTGAAATACAATCCGTTTAACTTCAAATCTTGAAAGTCATTTTGTAGTTGTTCCTTATTTTCATAACTGTAAAAAACATATCCATCAATATGTCTATCAACTACACATTGACAAAGTTGCCCTACACTCTCATTATTTTTCGGGAAAAAACTTTTTATCCTTTCTGATACCTCCAATGCTGTCCAACGTAGAAGGGGATTCAATATTTTTTCGAAAACTTTGTCCCTAAAACTTAATATTTTTCTTGCCAGTCCGATAGGTAATTTTGTGTCTTCAACGAAGGAGTCTTTGCAGCTTCGTTCATAAGAAAATAATGTTTGCCCGTTCAAAATAGAAAAAGTACTATCATACTTCTTCAAAAGATCGTCATTTAATCCTACTTCATCCTTCAACCATTGCTTAACATCTGTCTCTGAACTACCAGGAGTTATCTCTGCAAAAACAAGAAGAAGTCAGTAAACAAATACTCATTAGTAATACCTCCACTCTGATGTGAATGTATCTTCTCATATTGATCTCACATTCATACAAATTTGAATCCTACCACATGATTTATCAAATGATAGACTTTCAATTGCTAAAATTTCAAACATCTGCAATCATAGTTGACGAGACAAGAGGGCTAGGGCAACATCGCTCACCGGAGCAACTTTGTTCTTGACCAGATTTTCCCCTTTGTAATGCCTATTGTGTCCCGCTCTACCCTGGGGTCATGATTTGAATAATTTAGAATATACACTACCCCAGAATGCTTCTACATAAGTTTCAGATTTTCTGGCCCAGTGGTTCTTATGAAAAAAGATTTTCAATTTAAAACTTGGATCCCCAATTGTGCCCCTATCCTACCCCCATGGGTCATGTTTTTACAATTAGAATTTACACTACCCAAGGATGCTTCCAAATAAGTTATAGCTTTTCAGGCCCAGTGGTTCTTGAGAAGATTTTTTAAATTTTTTTCCCTTCATATTTCAATGTAAAACTAGGATCCCCTATTGTGGCCACACTCTAACCATGGGGATTATGGTTTGAACAAACTTGAATCTACACTAGCAGAGAATGCTTTCATTCAACTATAACCAGTCATGGCTTTGCTGTTCTTGAAAAAAAAACTTTTATAGATTTCTCCTAGTATGTATTCTTATGTCAAACTTTGATACTACATTGTGGCCCTACCCTTCCCCTAGGGATTATGATAAAAACAAACTTGAATCTACACTACCAGAGGATTCTTCTACATAACTATGACAGATCATGGCTTTGCTGCTCTTGAGAAGAAGACTTTTGAAGATTTTTCCTATGTATTACTACATTGAATTTTGATTCCCAATTGTGATCCCACCCTACCCCGGGGGTCATAATTTGAACAAATTTGAATTTACACAACCTGAAGATACTTCCACATGAGTTTCATCTTTCCTGTCCCAGTGGTTCTGGACGAGAAGATATTTCAAGATTTTCCTATGTATTCCAATGTTAAAATTTTATTCCCCATTGTTGGCCCATCCAACCAAGTAGTCATGATTTGTACGAACTTGAATCTACACTACATTTAACACACTGGCCCAGTGGTTCTTGAGAAGAAAATTTTTAAAAGATGTCAATAATTTTCACCAATTCATTGTTATCTCCCCTTGAAAGAGGGTGTGGCCCTTCATCTGAATACACTAGAATCCCCTTTATCCAAGGATTCTCTGTGGCAAGTTTGGTTGAAATTGTCCAGTGGTTATTGAGAAGTTGAAAATGTGAAAAGTTAACGACAACAATACCAATGCCAACAACGATGACTAGAAAAGCTCACTTGAACCTTTGGCTCAGGTGAGCTAAAATATATATAAGAAGACACCTCTCATGAAATGGAAAAAGGGGGATGGGTTTAGTATGATTCCAATGAGTTATATAACAAAGATTTGAACATATATTTTATTGAACTCAATATAAACAATGGGATTGGGCACAAGTTCTAAAATCTTAAATCATCCTCTCCCTGAGAATATATACAATTCAAGTACATTTATGCCTACCCTATTCTATTTTATAATATTATTTATATTGTCTTCTTTCAGGAAAATAAATCATTACAATTGATGTATTTGGTGGCTATCATACTGAAATGAAAATATTGCCACTCACTGCAAAGGAGTATTAGTTTGCATGTTCGAACTTACTCATAAAATATTTCAACATTAAGGATATACGATCCTCAGCAAGGAAGGATAACTCTTTAATTTATAATTTAATTCAAAAAGTCTTAAAATAAAGCTCGAAATTAAAATTTTTTCATGCAACAATTTTCATTTTATGCCTCTACATATGATTCAATGTTCTTTAAAGTTTTAACAAATGGTATTTAAAAAGTTGACATTTGTACCTCATAAAACTAAGTAAAACTTGCATATTTTAAAAAAATCAAATGTCTTTTAATTTAGCCTTAGTCAGGTTGGAGAGAATACTCGGAATCGGGTATTATCCGTGAAATCGCGTATAATACCCGATATAAGGGTATCGTTGAATCCGCGAAATCGGGTATTGGAGATGTAATCATCTAATAAAACTTAAACAATGGGATGGCGCATGTTGCCGAGTTAACTTCCATCTAGATACAAATGTTTTCTATCAGTATCACTAGCCAAGTAAGAATATGAGCGTCAAGATTAATGCGCTCAGGACAACAAATACCCGTGGAGCTCAGTACATTTCATGATCTGCACACAAAAAGGCGTTCGATTTGCTTTATATTTTTCATAATGTTGAAAGTATATGCATCTTCCTCATGTTCATTCCCAACACAACAGAATTGTAAAACATCAGAATTCGGGAATTTATAACAATTCCACATCAACACGACAAACATGAACAATTTGTAAATATATCAAATTATACGGAAACACATTTCACACACAAGATGTAATGCCATGTATAAACAAGGGAATGTCTATCGTATCTAATTATGCGTCATTAATTACTTTCACATTCATCTTGTGCATAAAATCAAATTTATTTATGAATGTATAAATAATGTAATGATTTCGGCTAAAAAACCCTCTTTCTCTTTTTTTTTTTTTGAAAATCTTTTTTTTTTTATCATTCATACATATTTGCAGAATATGTCTTCAACAATTAGCAGAGACAGTGATAGTAACAGGAATACAGCTTATGAGAGAACATAAATGTTGATCGTTTCATTTCGCCAAGTCACCACCAATATTTTACCATTACTTGGCAACTTCAATGGGTGGGGGGGGGCTAAAAGCTTCTTGACTACCTCTGACAAAACAACCTCGACTGTGTTCTGCATGTGTCCAAGAGACCTCTCCTTTCGCAATCATTGAATTAAATGTTAATGCAAAGTTTTTTGCCATATGTCTTTGAATGTCACTGTCGGTTAAACTCGGTTATATATTTTTAATTGTACGGAAGATTTATTTATCAAATAAAAATTATATAGGTTAACAAAAAGCAACCTGTTATTTTCTAACACAATATGATACTACAAGTAACTACAATTCAGGTGTATGTTTTTAACACATTTTTTCATTGTACTAGATGAGTATTAGGAAAAAGTTATTGCCATGAGTAATAAGTATCACAGATAAAATAACTAAAAGAAAACTGTGACATATTGTCTAGAACCAATCAGATAGAGCGTTGTATAGCATATTACAATGAGGTTTTAACATAGCGATATAAAAATAATGTGTAAAATAGACAACAGAAGGTAAAATCTACCCTGTCTATCAAATAGTATAATAAAGAAAGGAAGTGGCTACAATTTTCATGAAATTTTAGTGTCCGATGAGGAATTATATTCCCAAAAAGTAAGAAATGTGAAACCTTGACTATGTAATTCATATTTGAATATGACTGTAACTTGATCGATATTGAGAAATTCATGTATTTTACGCTCATGAAAAGATGTACACATTTGACTTTTATTTATACCCCCCCCCCCCAAAAAAAAAAAACAGTCAAGAAAATCCTGTTCACACAATTTTCACACAAACGCATAAAATGAAGGTAAAATAGTAAGCATATCTTGTATCAATTAAAATGCAACCAAAAAATTTACGGTGTCTTTGAATAAAAATTTCCATGCTAAATTGACAAAATAAAGATACTCACCTTCAATTAGCTATTTTCAACCTGTTTCCTGTGGGTATTTATTTAATTCTATTTTATTTTCCTCTTTATAATAACGTTGGTATTCTATTATGGCAGAGATATACAATTATGACTCGGTTATACTGTATTCTCTAACTGTAAGGATTGATTCATATTTCCATGAAAGGGACGCCATACATTTTTCAGTAAAAATACATAACAAGGCGTTAGTCATTTAATTTCTTTAAAGTTTCACACTTTGTGAATAGTGCACAAATAAGAAAAAACAAGTATATGGAATACTTTAATGGGAAATAAACACAAATGAAGTGTAGTTATTTGTTTTTAGAAATTATATTGAAAAATAATAACGCCATTGTGTCCTATTTGTTACCCCAGCAGTGTTTGTCGTGTGATTTTTAACTTATTTGACAACCATATTAATTAGGTTTAATAAAAATAAATCCACAAGATACTGATGTACAAGTAACAGTTACTTGCATAATGCGCCGTTGCTTTATTCTTTCGTTTTTTTTTTTTTAGAAAGTTGCACGGAATACCCGATTTCGCGGATTCAACGATACCCTAATATCGGGTATTATGCGCGATTTCACGGATAATACTTGATTTTGAGTATTCTCTCCGACCTGTTAGTTTCCAATGTTTATAAGCATGATTTGAAATTATAAGTGATTTACGGTGTTTTCTTTGAAAGGAAACACTTCATACACAATGCATTATTAAATGATGGAAGTAAGTAGGAGAAAGTAAAGTACTAAAAAAGTATAAAATTCATGCAATTTTCTTTAAAAGCCTGGATACCTATGATATTTATTCCTAAAATGTATTTCTTGATCAGTTATCAATTGAAAAATATGCAGTAGGTAGTTCAAATCGCATTCCCTGAAAAATTATTTGAGATTTACTAATTTTCCCTATTTAATATGATTAAATTTAAAGATGAATTTTAAAGAAACACCGTGGGTAAATACATTTTAATTTGCAAATTTAGAAACATCTTTGTGAGCATTTTCAATTACTCAATGCCTGATTTTCAGAACCTGAGGATCGGATAACCTTAAATATACCCGGTAATCATGAGGGTAATGATTTCAAAGTACTGATTTGTTTACACTAATGGTAATCTAACAACCAAGCTATATGATAAACGTGATGACTTTAACTTTTCTATCAACAACTTCCCTTACTTATGCAGCAATATACCTTCATCACCTGCATACGGAGTATATATATCTCAGTTGATTCGATACGCAAGAGCATTCTCTACATATGAACAATTTTTAAAACGAAGTAAATTATTGACAAGCAAGTTGAAGAAACAAGAATATCAGCAGTCTCGTTTAAAGTCATCATTTCGTAAGTTCTATGGTCGATACAATGACCTTGTCAGCAAATACTGTTTATCATTGAGTCAATTGCTGACTGAAGTTTTTCATACCAATTGTTAGGCCATTATTTATACACTGAATTGACGACAGATTCTTTCCATTATTTCCTGATCATGACAAGGAGCACACGGCGGGTGTGACCGGTCGACAGGGGATGCTCATTCCTACATGGCACCTGATCCCATGTCTGATGTTTCGGGGGTCCGTGTTTGCTCTGCTTTAATTTTGTATTGTTTTATGGACTTTGAAATTGAATAATGTTCGTTATCTCCATATCCTTCTTTCTGAATAGTGGACATATTTTACAGTTTCAGTTATTTTCTTTCTCTTTACCCTCTTCCTTGATAAGCCCTAGCTGGCCAATTTGAAATCTCAATAATTAATTACTCACTAAAATCAGTTCTGATTCAAACTGGAAAGTTCTGATACTCAAGTATACTTTTAAAAGTCTGATTCATCAGAACTCTACAACAAATGTGACATATCCAAATTACTATCCACGATTTTCTCTACTAGGAGTAAATCTGTTATGAATCGCTTCATTTTTCACTTGGTTTGATTTTCAAAACAGGTTAAATAGGCACTTTCAAAGGACGATCAATTGTTCATAGATTTTGATTTTATTTTGCCATATTCTTTAACATATGAAGTTTGGATCCATTTCCATTACCATTTAACTGACTCCCTTAAACAATTATACTTTAACTTTGGTATGTTGAACACTGCTGATATCATGAAAACCATGAATATGTCCAAGTGATTTGGAAGTTACAACAGTTTATTCATAATTCCTGGTTAATTATATTTATGAAATCTTGAATCCTTGGACATCTCAACTTTTTTCTTGGTCCCATCAAGTTTGAGATAACATGGTTTGACTGTACTTTTCTCTATTTATTGTCTTTTTTCAACCTACCCTGATCTTTTGGTTTGGTTTGTACTGAGGACGGAGGACACACTATAATAATTTAATTTTGGTTGTAACGCTTTATTTGATGGGATAAAAAATTTACTTATATTGTATAAAATGGGTTGCCTAAATCACAATGACTTAGTCAAAAACGCATCAATTTACTTGACCTTACAATTAAACTATGAAATATGAAGGCAATTTTCAGGCAAAATTGTCTTGTGTTCCATACTAAATGACTGAAAATTAAATTATAAGGAATGAATTAAATGGCAACTCAAGTTATACTGGTATTACCTGGTTTGGAGCAGTTTACAATGAACTCTTTTTTATACACAGGTTCATTCTTTATAAAAAGTAAATTTCCCCAACATCGGTTATACCAGTATAACTTGGGTAGCTATTAAATTCACTGTCCCCTACATTGTTCATAAAACAGACTCTACCCTTTTGGTTTGGTTGTGATGAGGACTGAGGAAACATTGTAAGGACTGTTTCAGTTTGTTATGCATTCCTTACATTCATATGATAAAGTCTACAAGGAGAACAGGCTCACCTGACTGCCTGTAGTTGGAATAGTCCACTGGAAAGTTGATGTTGTCAGAGTTCCGATCATTCTCTATTGGTAGTAATGGGGCATCACATGATTCCTGTGAAATGACTGGTTGGCCTGGCTGAGGAGGTGTTTCTGAGAGAAAGATATCAAAGAATTAGAAATTACACACTTGGGCCACACCAATAAAATTTCTTGTTCTTCGGACAGCTGACCCCAAAAAGTTGGGGCGAGCGAGCGATTTGATAATTATAATATTAAAATTTTTATCAACAAAATTTCCAAGCGGTGAAGTAAAATAACGGAGCGGGCGATTTTTAATTTTTATTTTCCTTTACATTTCTAGAGTAAATCATTACCAAATCTTTTCCAATTGCCCTGATCATGTAAAACATTCAATATTCCAATTTTTAGAGTATCATATGGGCATTTGATACAGGTTTCTCATTTCATAAAGGTACAAAATTCTGTAAATAAATCTCCCAATAATATAGAATGTTAACTCTCCTATGCACCCCAAACCCTTCGTGTTTTCTGGAATCCATATTTTTGTCCTGTACAAGATTTGCTTGGTTTAATACATGTACATTGATCACTGTTTAAAAGTGTGACCTCCATCTTTTACATATATTTGAAAACAGTATTAATAAAATGTGATGTGATCAAAACTATAATGAACAATCATATAAAACTGACCAATTATAACAGCACTACTGTTATCATTATTTTTCAGTATTTATGCACAATATCAGAATTAGCTGAACATCGCCCCAAATTATACTTTAAAAAAATAAGACATTGTAGAACTGTCGACAAGTACGTCTCATTACTATTTATCATTTACAATTAATGCCAGCAGTGATAATTTATTATTTCATATAGTAATTGACAAATATATCATAAATTTAATTGGCATAGAACGCAAAATAACAAGGTTGATTATCAGTAATAAAATGAGAAAATATCATTAAAATCAAAACTATTTTTTTCTACTCTCAAGAGTTGACTGGTATATGTTTTAAAATAAAGTATCAAAATTGTTTAAATATATTCTGGCTAATTCACGACAGCTTGGAGTTAGTACATGTAAACACAGAATCTGTTCAAGAATTGTCTGAGGTGGAAACGATTCTACCTACATCTTGCATGCACTGTGGTTCAACTGGCGGGAAATGGAACGAAAATTTCCGGAAGCGGGAAATTGAAAATAATATTATTTTTTACGTTTCTCTAAAATACGAGCGAGCAGGTCCAACGAACAAGAAATTTTATTGGTGTGGCCTTGTTTAAATTCTTCACCAAAGTTGCCAATTATGAGATCTACAGATGCTTTTAAATTCATATGATACATAATGGCTTTGCTGTTTATAGGATGAAAATTTTTATTGGCATACCAGTGTTCCCCTATAGCCAGCTTCCCCCCCCCCCCCCCCCCCACAACACAAACTCCAGAATAAGATTACACCCTCAATCCCCAGGTACATCTCATACCAGAACCAAATTCCCCCCTCATTCTTTCTCAGAGTAGGATTTCCCCCTTCTTATAGAGTCAATATAAACCACAGCCAACATATGTTTTGTATAAAAAATTTTTTAAATAATTTTTAAATAATAAATGTGTTTTTCTATATACTAGTATGTTGAAAGAATTTTCAAAGCATAAATTTTAAATCTAGGAGTCTTAACCAAAATAATTAGATTTTCAAAAGAAGTGCCTTTGTAAATATCCTCAGATTGATGTTTTAGCATAAAGTAGCTCAATATCTCCATTCACTTAGAAAACATAAAACATTGCAGAAAATCCTATTTAATAAACAAGAGGCCCATGGGCCACATCGCTCACCTGAGCACTTAGGGTAGAAAAAGGAGAAAATGGCTTTTTATTGTAAAGTTTAAATCCAAAAGTAGTCCCATGACCAGTCATGGATTTGATATATTTTAGAAAATGATTTTTAAAGAATTTTCCTATATATATGTTTAAAAACTTTGGTTGGCCATTTTGGCCCCACCCTACCCCTGAGGGTCATGATTTAAAAAAACTTGAATCAACACTACCTGACCATGCTTCCATATAAATATGATGAATTATGGCTTTGTCATTCTTGAGAAGAAGATGTTTAAAGAATTTTTCTATATATTTCTAAGTAAAACTTTGGTTGGCCATTTTGGCCCCGCCCTACCCCCGGGGGTCATGATTTGAACAAACTTGAAACTACACCTCCGGAGCATGCTTCTATATATATATGATGAATTATGGCTTTGTCATTCTTGAGGAGAAGATTTTTAAAGAATTTTCCTATATATTTCAATGTAAAACTTTGGTCGGCCATTTTGGCCCCGCCCTACCCCTGGGGGTCATGATTTGAACAAACTTGAATCTACACTACCTGAGGATGCTTCCCCATAAGTTTCATTTTTCCTGGCAAAGTGGTTCTTGAGTAGAAGATTTTTAAATCATACCACCAAATTTTTATTAATTCCCAATTATCTCCCCTTGAATGAGGGCGCGGCCCTTCATTTGGACAAAGTTGAATCCCCTTCACCCAAGGATGCCTTGTGGCAAGTTTGGTTGAAACTGGCCCAGCGGTTCTTGATGAGAAAGTCAAAAATGTGAAAAGTTTACAGACAGACGGACAGCTGGACAGACAGACGGACGCCGGACCAAATGTGATCAGAAAAGCTCACTTGAGCTTTCAGCTCAGGTGAGCTAAAAAGGTTGCGATTCCATAAAAAATTATTCAAGTGAAATAAAATGCAAAATTATAGACCCCATTCCTAGAATCAGCTTAATTTCTTCCAAATATTTAGAAAAACAAGAGGCCCATG